GCTTCCCATTCCGTATCTGCCATCCCTCTCTGCCAATCCCTCCACTGGATTTCCCTTCCCATTCCATATCTGCCATCCCTCTCTGCCAATCCCTCCACTGGCTTCCCATTCCATATCTGCCATCCCTCTCTGCTAATGCCAATCCCTCCACTGGCTTCCCATTCCATATCTGCCATCCCTCTCTGCCAATCCCTCCACTGGTTTCCCATTGCCCAACGAATAAAATTCAAAACATTAACAATAACTTTTAAAGCCATTTGTAACTCTGCTCCCAATTACATCACCAATCTTGTCTCCAAAAAATCCTCTCTGCTCCTCCTGCTCTCTAGCTTCATTTTCTCCTCCTCCCATGTTCATCTCCGGGACTTCTCTAGAGCCTCTCCCATCCTCTGGAACTCTCTACCCCAATCTATCCGACTATCGCCTACTCTGCCCACTTTTAGACATTCTCTGAAAACCTATCTCTTCAGGGAAGGCTATCCCGCCTTCAGCTAATAACATAATCTTCTATTCCTCCTATCCGTTCATCCCCCACAGTTATTACCTTGTGTACCACCAGCTCCTCCCTCTTCGATTGTAAGCTCCAAGGAGCAGGGCCCTCCTATCCCTTTTGTATTGAACTGTATCGTTGCTGTATTGTCTCCCGTTATATTGTAAAGCGCTGAGCAAACTGTTGGTGCTATATAAATCCTGTATTATAATAATATCACTCAAATCGTCCTCTCCACTCTTCCTGCTCTCTAGCTCCCATGCTCATCTTCAGGACTTCTCCAGAGCCTCCCCCATCCTCAAGCGCTGAGAAAACTGTTGAATCCTATATAATAATATTACCCATATCATCCTCTTTGCTCCTCCTGCTCTCTAGCTCTCTAGTCTCCTCCTCCCATACTCATCTTCAGGACTTGTCCAGAGCCTCCCCCATCCTCTGAAACTCTCTACCCCAATCTATCCAACTATCGCCTACTGTGCCCACTTTCAGATGATCTCAGAAAACCTATCTCTTCAGGGAAGGCTATCCCGCCTTCAGCTAATAACATAATCTTCTATTCCTCCTATCAGTTCATATAAATCCTGTATAATAATAATAATAATACATGTAATAAATAAAATAGTACTTTTCTGCAAAAAGCACCCAAAAACACATAGGTGTGAACCAGGCCTAACATTTTTTTTTTAATGGTGAATGTTATTGTCCTTCTGCGACTGCGCTTTTTTTTTTTTCATACCGAACAGCGATCAACCATGACATCAGCCAGGAAGGATTCAGAAAATCCTATTGACTTTCTCTGTGTTTCCATAGTATTAATCAGTTGAGATCAAACTGCCTGACACCAAATTGGCCAAGTTGTTGAAGTCTGACACCAAGGACACACAAGAAACTCAATAGGCTGAGCCAATGGATGCTGCCACACCATCGGCTATTTAATTATTAAAGAAATGTGGGTTCACATTAAAATGACCTGGAATGGTTCCAATGAAACAAGGCAGATGTAGGACTTCGCAGGCTGAAGGGTGACATGTGGATGGAGTGGGGGATGTGTTGGGTGGTCACTAGTGGTGGATGAGCAGCAATAAAGGCATGTGGATGATAAAGCTGTCATGCTGTATACAGCGATGGAGCAGCAGGCTGGCTGGGACAGATCGATGCAAGCAGCAGTAGTAGTATCAGCAGCAGCAATGCACATCCCATCCCAGCCCTTCCTCACTGACATCTAGTATTCCACACACTGGGAATGACGTATGAGGGGAGGAGCCGCGCTGGTCCCGCCCCCGACTCCTAGACACACGGCCAGTGACACACAATAGAGAGGCCGAGTTCGGAGAAGAGAGAGCTGAGCTTCGGGAGGCTGGAGAGGACAGAGCGGTGTGAGGAGCACAGAGGTGACCCGCATACAAGCAGGACAGACAGGCAGACTGCTAGGACAGACCCTTCAATAGGCACTAAGGACATGGCTGTCCATACACTGCCTCCATTAATTGAGCCTGGGATACAGTGACATCTTGTCATCCACTTGGACCAGACAAAGCTCCCTTGTGGCCAGTTGTCCTTGTCCTGGTCTGCATGTAAAGCCCTGAGCTCCCCCATTTCCCACAGCCAGATAGGAAGCTCCCTTGCGTCCTCCTGTACTAACCGTTTTTTTCTGGAGACCAATGGTGGTGCTGAAAGCCTCATGCTGAGTCTCCTTGGTGAGGTGTCCCATTGGGGCCAGGGACAGGATGCTGGAGCCAGCGGGCTTTGCAGAGGCGTGGCGGGCGCAGTTTCCGGACGCGGAGCCGCCCCGCATGGAGCTGCGCACGGTGCGGGACATGGAGCAAGAGTTGGAGAGGTGCAGGGTCACCGTACGTAGGCTGGAGCGAGAGTTGAACCGAGAACGGTTTCGTATGATTTACCTGCAAACCCTGCTGGCCAAGGAGAGAAGAGGTTACGACCGCCAGCGCTGGGGGTTCGAGGAGAGGGATCCGCCGGGAGGAGGCGAAGAGAGGCCGGTGGGTTCCAGTCGTGAAGAGAGAGCCTTAGGTCCTGGTAGGGAAGAGAGAAGCCCAGAGGAAAGGACTAGAGGTCCGGGCCGCAGGGAACCACCTGTCGGCGCTCCGGACCTGTCTCCTGGGGATGTGACTCGGGGTCCCCGTCGACTGTTCAGCTTGACAGAGAGAGATGGGTCAGAACCCCGATCAGACCGGCTTAGAAGGGCAGCTTCTCACCCTGAAGGGAGTCCAAAAACCATCTTACCGGTAGAATCTCGGCGTGGCCGCTCTTCGGATAGCAGCTGTGGCTGGGATGGAGAATACGAGGAAGCTGAATTGAACCCTCGCTTTATTCGGGATAATGCATTGCCAGGTCCTGGCAGTCGTTGGGGGGAAGCTTGGCCACGTCGATCTGTCTCCCCTCAGAGTTTTGAGGACCTTGGGGGAGGGTATACACCAGATTGCAGCTCCAATGAGAACCTTACCTCAAGTGAAGAGGAGTTGTCCTCGGGCCCGTCTGGACGGGTGTCACCTCGGGGTCTTTGGGGTCGCTCCCCTCCTTCACCTGGCAGTGCAAGCCCCCCCACTCCACAGGCACCTGCTCGCCAGTGCCAGCTGAGAGTGTCTGAGGCTGCAATAGTTGGAGTAAGGAGAAGTGGACAGATCTGGCCAAGCTGTGTAGAGCCTTCTTCAAGAGATGGAGGCTTCCATGGAGATGGAGGTAAGAAAGAACAGATGTTTTTAATCTATTTGAAAAATGTCCGCTTGTCTTGCAACTTTTTGTATATTTATGTTCTGTGATATAATTTGTTTAACCTATGTTTATCAATGTTCCAACTTACACATAGCCAAAACATTTCACTTTAACACGTTGTAGATACAAGACGTGCTGACCTGCACAAAGCAGATAAGAGCAGCATCTGTAAACTTTGTTGGTTTCAGATTCATAATTTTCTGTTTTATGACCATTGTCAGCCATGAACTTTAGTTCAGGAGTAGGCAATCCTTGGAGAGGTGAGCTACCTGAACAACATAGAGGATAAATCATCAGGGTGCGGTGCTCTTTTATTAAGGTGATAACCCAGCGAGGTCCCATTAAAAGGTAAGGAAGGTTTGAAGAGTTCAGAGGTCAATAAGTAACACAAGGTTTAGTGATCAATAGTAATGCAAAGTTCAGGGGTCAATAAGTAAGTAACACAAAGTTTAGGGATCAATAGTAACGCAGAGTTCAGGGGTCAATAAGTAAGTAACACAAGGTTCAGGGGTCAGTAGTAACATAGAGTTCAGTGGTCAATAAGTAAATAACACAAAGTTCAGGGGTCAATAAGTAACACAAAGTTTAGGGATCAATAGTAACGCAGAGTTCAGGGGTCAAAAGTAAGTAACACAAAGTTCAGGGATCAATAGTAACGCAGAGTTCGGGGGTCAATAATTAAGTAACACAAAGTTTGGGGGTCAGTAGTAACGTGGAGTTCAGGGGTCAACAAGTAAATAACACAAATTTTAGCGATCAATAGTAACGCAGAGTTCAGGGGTCAAAAGTGAGCAACACAAAGTTCAGGGGTCAATAGTAATGCAGAGTTCAGGGGTCAATAGGTAAGTAACACAAAGTTCAGGGGTCAATAGGTAAGTAACACAAAGTTCAGGGGTCAATAGGTAAGTAACACAAAGTTCAGGGGTCAATAGGTAAGTAGCACAAACTTCAGGGGTCAATAGTAACGCAGAGTTCAGGGGTCAATAATTAAATAACACAAAGTTCGGGGGTCAATAGTAACGCAGAGTTCAGGGGTCAAACAAATAGCACAAAGTTCAGGGGTCAATAGAAACAGAGTTCAGGGGTCAGTAGTAAGTAATGCCGAATTCAGGGTTCAGTAATAAGTAGTGCAGAGTTCAGGGATCTATAGTAAGGAATGTAGAGCTCACGAATCAGTAATAAGTAACACAGAATTCAGGCGTAAGTCATGTAGAATCCAGAGATCAGTAGTATGTAACGCAGAGTGCAGAGGTCAGGAGTAAGTAACATTGAATTCAGAGGTCAGTAGTATGCGCAAGGGTCAGTAGAAAGTAATGCAGAAGTCTGCTGTAAGTATTGTAGAGTACAGGAGTCAGGAGAAAGTAACTGAAAGTTGTATCGCACTGTGCAGGGGTTCAAGAGTAAGTAATGCAGAGAGTGCATGGGTCAGTAGTAAGTAATGCAAAATATTGCAGTGTGTAAGTAGTAAGTATTGCAGAGTTCAGAGGTCAGGAGTAAGTAACTAAGTGCACTGGGTAGTGGTAAGTAACACAGATCTCAGTAGTATTTAACTAGTTGCCGACCGCAGATAGCCGGATGACGGCTGCACTGCGGCCAGCCAGTTCTGAGTGGACGTCATATGACGTCCTCCCAGAACGCGCTCTGGGGGCGCGCACCCGGCGATCTCCGTGATCGCTGTGTCCTACGGACACAGCTGATCACGTGATGTGGTAAAAGGCCAATCACAGCGGCCTTTTACCATGTGATCAGCGGTGTCCAATGACACGCTGATCAGAGGGAAATGCAAGTGCCGGTTCTCGGCTGCACTTTCTTCACGCTGTCAGATCGTGAGGAAAGTACTGCCGAGAACCGGCAGTTGTCAGAGCGGGGATCGGCACCGATCAGGGCACTGATGATCAGTGCCCTGATGATTGGTGCCCAGCAGTGCCACCCGCAAGTTCCTCCCACCTGTGCCCAGCAGTGCGCCCACTAGCTCCGCCCACCTGTGCCCAGCAGATCACCCACCTGTGCCCAGCAGTGCACCCACCTGTGCCACTCTGCAGTGTCACACACCTGTGCCCACCAGTGCCACCCACCTGTGCCCACCCACCAGTGCCACCCACCTGTGCCCACCCACTAGTGCCGCCCACTAGTGCCACCCACCAGTGCAGCCCAGCAGTGCTGCCAGTCAGTGCCACCAGTCAGTGCCCAGGGGTTGTGCCAGTCAGTGCCGCCAGTCAGTGCCCAGCAGTGATGCCAGTCAGTGCCGTCTATCAGTACCCATCATCAGTGTCACCTATCAGTGCCGCCTATCAGTGCTGCATATTAGTGCCGCCTATCCGTGACACCTCATTAGTGCTGTCTATCAGTGCCGCCTATCCGTGCCACCTCATTAGTACTGCCTATCAGTGCCCTTTAGTGCTGCCTATCAGTGCCCATCAGTGCTGCCTCATCAACGCACATCAGTGAAGGAGAAAAATTACCTGTTTGAAAAATTTTATAATAGAAACAAAGAAACTTTTTTTTTTTTTTTTCAAATTTTTTGCACTTTTTTTATTTATAGCGCAAAAAGTAAAGTGCCCAGTGGCGATTAAATACCACCAAAAGAAAGCTCTATTTGTGAGAAAAAAATGATCAAAATTTCATATGGGTACAATGTTGCATGACCGCGCAATTGTCAATCAAACGGCGGCAGCGCTGAAAGCTGAAAATTGTCCTGGTAAATAAGGGGGTATAAGTGCCCGGTAGGCAAGTGGTTAAAGAGGTTCTAAAGGCTGAACGCTTTTCACCTTCATGAAGGTAAAAAAATCCGTGTGTGGCTTCCCCAACAGCCCCACCTAATATTTACCCGAGCCCAATCCAGCTATGTGCACAAGAGTAGCGGTTTTCCTGAGTCTCTCCTTCCTCATTAGCTGAGACACAGAAGTGGGAGTCATAGGCTGAACCTTTAGACCTTTAGTATCACTGTAAGCTGCCCATAGATGGATCAGAATTTGACTGGTTCAGTGGGGACCAGCTGAATTTTCGATCCATGTTTGGACACTGTGCTTGTACAGAAGTCGATCCACAGAACAACTTTTGTACAATTTCTCTCCTAGAAAATTTCTTCTCAATTGGCACTGCAGTCTGTAGTCTGCAGCACTGATCTGTTTATTCTGATGGCAGGGAAGTCTCCCCTCTTTAAGAATAAAAGGACAGAGTGGGAGGATTCCCCTATCCCTCTCCAATGAGTGGATGAGGGAATTGGGTTTTTTTTTTTTTTTTTTTTTTTTTTGTTCAATCTGCTGGTTGAACAAAAAAATGACCCATCTATTGCCAGATTTAATGCACAGTGCAGATGTTAGTAGTACATAACACACAGTGCAGAGGTCAGGAGTAGCTAAGTCACACCCCCCCCCCAAGAAAAAATACCCCCCTTCCAGTACAAACATTCACCCCCCCCCAAGCTAAAATTGCTGACAGTGCCAATCCCCCCTCCCTTTGTAACATGTACTCACCAGACCTCAAAGGCAGTGGTGCCCATCAGAGTATTGCACATCAGCGAAGGAGTAGCCTAGAACATAACTTGGCTCTGCAATACATATGGCCGCTCTGATCTGAAAGTCTTCAGGTGGGTTCAGGGACTTGCAGCTGGCACAGCGGGGTTGTGATCTACCTGTCACATGAGTACAATTGCTAAATTAGGATTGACCTGTTGCGGACCCCTGCTGTAGATGGTAATGGGTGCTCATCATGGGCTGTGACTACCAGAAAAGGTAAATATCGAAGTTCTAATATAAACAGGCATATTGGTATCCAACAGACTTGCATGTTCACCAAAGCCTGTCCTAATGGGTATTCAGTAGACCAGATGCTGAAAAATTCCCACCCAGCTGGTAGCCACCAACATGGCACCAATATTGAGGATGGCTGCAGTAGTTGTATATTGACAAGTCACCCGGTGTTTTTGCCTATCTTACTTTTTTGCCTGAGCACTGTGTAGCGTATCACAAACCTTTTTTATTTTCAGTTTGGCCTGAGGTCCTGAAGACCGATTTCAGTTTTCATGCCTAGAGTACGTATTCTGGCACAGAGGAAGAAAACCTGTTCTGATTTACAATCATGATAGCTTATCTGGGATTCCATGTTATTTATAAATGCACTTTATTATAACTCCACCTTTCACCTTACTTAACCCCTTGTGCCTTTCATCTATGGGTCTGTGGCTTGTATGGTGGCTTGGCTGGTGACATCCTTGCTGCTTGTTTTGGTGTGGAGGACATTCTATGAATTGACATTGAAAGAATCAAGCGATTGTTTGCTTTATGAATGCATTCTGTATTTCTCTACCTAGTAGTGCTTAAAACGGAGTTCCAGCTGAAAAAATTGTAGCTGCTGACTTTTAAAATACAGACACTTACCTGTCCCTCGGTCCAGTGATGTCCTCACATGCCATGGCTGGGTTCACTGGCCGTCTTCTCTCACTGGCTCCGTCATCTTCAGTGTGGGCACCCGGCTGTGACCGTTTCACAGCCGGGTGCCCACTGCGCATGCACGAGAAGCGCTGCACTTTGTGAATGGCCCCGTAGTTTTCTGGGACCTGTCACGTGTCCCAGAAGACTATGGGGAGAGAGGGAAGGAGGACAACTTCCGCTTCCGATCACCTTAGGTGATCGCAGTGGAAGTGGGAGCAGGTACCTGTTAAATTCGAGTACCCGCTCCCCAAAGGTGCCAATCCTTAATGGGGAGCGGGGGACAAAGGCTTAAAGCGGAACTTCCCCTTTTGGGTGGAGCTCCTCTTTAACTAGGTAGAGAAATGTAGACTGCCCCAGACTTTCAAGCCATGCATATACTCTTTCTTACCAGTTTAAACAGCAGTAGGACGAGGAAAACTACTCCGACAAGCTGCTGCCTTACTGCCCTAACTTTTATATACAGAAATTCAACTACTCCTGTTTAAGAAGTTCAGGAACAAATATCATATACAGGCATGTGATGAGTCACTGGGTGTTCTTTTAGGTGCCATGCACACTAGCTACAGAAAAAACTGGATAAAAAATACTGGTAATAGCATTTTTTTTAGTAATGTTTAGGAGTTTTTTTTTTTTTAGTGTTTTTACCGTACATGTAGATAAAAAAAAAGTTAGAAAAAAGCTGTTAGGGGCGTTTTAGAAGCGTTTAGCGTTTTTTCCTGCTGGAAAAATGCTCCCAAAAATTCTACGAAAAAAATTTTTTTCTTCTGCTCCTAAACGCTGAAGGTTTAAAATTGCTACTAGCCTAAAATGGTGTGCATGGAGACATAGGATAAGGCTATGCAACTTCTAGGATCAGAAAAAAAATGCTGATAACCGCTTTAGGAGCTTAAAAGAAAAACGCTAGTGTGCATGGAGCCTTAACTTGTCCCCGTCCTACAATTTTTAAATGTAGATGTTGGACGTCAAGTACAGAGCAACTAGAATTCCCCTTAAGGCCCCTTTCACATGGGCGTTCTGTATTTTTCATCAGTTCAGTCATGTTTTTTCCAAGAAAAAAACGGATCAATTCACATCAGTTCACAACAGTTTTTCATTAGTTCACATCAGTTTTTCAGCAGTTTACGTCAGGCTTACATTTGTTTTTCATCAGTTTACATCCGTTCTTTTGTTAGTTTCCATAAGTTTTTCATCAGTTTACATCCGTTCTTTTGTTAGTTTCCATAAGTTTTTCATCAGTTTACATCCGTTCTTTTGTTAGTTTCCATAAGTTTTTCATCAGTTTACATCCGTTCTTTTGTTAGTTTTCCATAAGTTTTTCATCAGTTTACATCCGTTCTTTTGTTAGTTTCCATAAGTTTTTCATCAGTTTACCCGTTTTTGTCCATTTACATCCATTTTTTTGTTCGTTTCCATACGTTTTTCATCAGTTTACATCCGTTCTTTCATTTGTTTCCATACGGTTTTCATCAATTTACATCCGTTCTTTCGTTTGTTTCCATACGTTTTTAATCAGTTTACACCCGTTTTTGTCCATTTACATCTGTTCTTTCATTCGTTTCCATACGTTTTTCATCAGTTTACATCCGTTCTTTCATTTCCATACGTTTTTCATCAGTTTACATCCGTTTTAACCTTTTACATCCGTTTTTAACCTTTTACATCCGTTTGTAACCTTTTACATCCGTTTTTGTCCATTTACATCCGTTCTTTCGTTCGCTTCCATATGTTTTTTTCATCAATTTACATCTGTTCTTTCATTTACATACGTTTTTCATCAGTTTACACCCGTTTTTGTCCATTTACATCAGTTTTTGTCCATTTACATCCATTCTTTCGTTCGTTTCCATACATTTTTCATCAGTTTACATCCGTTCTTTCATTTGTTTCCATACGTTTTTCATCAGTTTACATCTGTTCTTTCGTTTCCATACGTTTTTCATCAGTTTACATCGTTTTTTCGTTTCCATACGTTTTTTCATCAGTTTACATCTGTTCTTTCGTTTTTTCCATACGTTTTTCATCAGTTTTTTTCCATTTACTTCCGTTTTTGTCTATTTACATCTGTTCTTTTGTTTGTTTCCATACGTTTTTCATCAGTTTACATCCGTTTTTCATTTCAGTTTTCATCAGTTTACATCCGTTCTTTCGTTCATTTCCATACGTTTTTTCATCAGTTTACACCCGTTTTTGTCCATTTACACCCGTTTTTGTCCATTTACATCTGTTTTTCATGTGTTATGCTTTTTTTAACGGAAGAAAAATAGGGTTTTCATCCGTTCACAAAAACGGATGTTAACAGATGCGGGCATTAACAGATGTAAACAGATGATCATCTGTTCACATCCACAAGTCCATAGATATACATGGGTGTCCGTTTTTCATCCGTAAACGGACAGATGAAGAACGGACATTCAGAACATCCGTGTGAAAGGGGCCTAACAGCTCACACGTAAGATAAGTTTCTAAAATAACATATTTGGATGGAAGTCTTGGCCATACAATGGCCATGTACCTTATTATGCAATCTCTGAGGACAAATCTAAAATATCGATTTTATTATATCCAGTCAGGCAGGCCCTTGTGCCAAATAGTTACTGAGAAATATAAAGGAGATTGTACAATCACATTGTATAGTGTGTGTATAGTCAGCCTGGGTTCACACTGATGCGGTGCGGAATTCGCATCGGTTTGTGTGCGAATTCCGCATCATAATTGCACCCCTTTCATGCGAACCGCTGCGGGTGTGTATGTTAAGTTAACAACACCCCGTAATCGGCTTGCAAAAGTGGTGCAATGCCCAGAATCAGATCGTAT